TTCTTCTTCTTCTTCTTCTTCTTCTTCTTCTTCTTCTTCTTCTTCTTTTCTCTTTCTTTCCCAAAATAAGCAGCTAGGCCACACAGTGGGCCTTGAGTCATTAAACATGAGTTCAAATTCAACCTCACACACTTATTAGCTATATGACCCTATACAAGCCATGTAACCTCTGCCTGCCTCAGTTTCCTCAACTGTAAAATGGGGATCCTACTAGTACCTACTTCACAGGTTGTGAAGGATCAGATGACATAACACCTGTAAAGTGCTTAGTATAGTGCCTGGCATATAACAGGTACTTAATAAATGCTTATTCCTTCCTCTTATCTATGTATCATCAAAAGAGATTGTCAAACTAGAGATTAACCCTCACATGAAGAGAAGAATTAAATCCCAAGAATTTGCTTTTGCAAATGTCTGCTCACCAATCACTGATCCTATACATCATAGGACAGAGAGTTAAAAGAAACATGACAGATATATAATCTAGTCTAACCTTCTCATTTTATAGATGATGCACAGAGATGGACAATGACTCACTCATAGTGACACAGGTAGTAAGTAACAGTCAAGATTTGAAACTAAATCTTCTGGCTACAAATACGACAATCTTATTAAGCTTTAGATTTCTCCAAGCATTAACAGTATCTCTCTTTAATGCACTCATTATGTGATATTTCATATTATAGTTATTCACATTTATATCTTCTTAATTTACTAGATTAAAAGCTCCATGAGGATAGGGACTATATCTTATCTAATTTCTCTCTTTCCTCTGGAATCAGTATAGTAAAACACTGTGAATTAAATTATAGTGAACTAAATTGAACTGAGAGACAAAATCTTAGTCCTAATCCTTTTTCTCCTTATACCTTCTCCCTTGCTAATCTCATCATTTTCATGACTTTACTTATCATCTTTCAAACTCTTTGTGGCCCTGTTTGGGTTTTCTTGACAAAGATATTGGCATGGTTGACCATTTCCTTCTCCAGTTCATTTTACAAATGAGGAAACTGAGGCAAACAGGGTTAAGTGACTTGCCCAGGGTCACAAGACTATTAAGTGTCTGAAGTTGGATTTGAACTCAGGAAAATGAGTCTTCCTGACTCCAGGTCTATCTATCCACTGTGCCATGTAATTATTATTAGCTATTATACTGGACATGGTCTATATTTTTTTCCTTTTGTGCCTGAAATAATTTCCTTTCCTACACTTATATTTCCAGTCCCCATTGAAATCTCATACATCATTCAAGACTCATCTCAAATGTCAAATACATCATAAAGCCTTTCATAAGCCTCTCCAATTGCATGTGATCATTTCTTTCTCTATAACCCTTTTTAATTCTCTTACAACACTTCTCATAATCTGGTTTGTATTATAGTTAGTCGTATTCTTGCCCTATCTCCTTACTAGATTTTGAGATTGGAGGATGGGGACAAGATCTATGCTGAATTCTTTTTGCATCCTTCTGCACTACCAAGCACAGAGTTTATAAACAGGAGTCACTTGATAAACATGTCGGGTTAAACCACTGAAGGATCTTACCTTCTTTTCCATGTTCTTTGGAAGAGATCTCAGAATAAACCACATCTCCAACTACAGGATTTACTGAAAGAGAAGACAAAGTTTTCCAGAAGATATTGGCCAAGGGCTAACACCATAGACTCTCAAGAGATTTCAGAAGTCGTCTAATCTGAGCCCCTTCCCAATGCATGAATCCCATACCATACAGGCGATCATCATGCCTTTGTTGCAATGCCTCCAGTGTTGGGGAACTTACTATTCACCATGAATCATATCACATGTAGACATTGATATTCACTATTTAGAGTGATACTCTAAGATCCAGTAAGATACAATTTAGAATCACAATCACTTCCTATTGACTCACGTTTACTTGCTTTTCCCTGCTCGGTGCTCCAGAGCTCAGAATAAACTGTGTCCTTAATTACAGAATTCACTGCAAGAGAAGACAAAATTGATCAAGATGCTCTGGCTGAGAGCTTGGACTATTAGCTTTTCCTAACCATCTCCCTCAGAATCCTCTTTACTTGATGATGAGATGGGCAAACCAGCCAGACTGAAGCAGTAAAGGGAGGTGGTATGTGCCAAGCAAATCAAATCACCACCACTGTCTTAATCATCACCTTCCTTCAGATCCAGCGAGATACAAGCTAGGACTCTGAATCTAAGAGCCTTGGGAAAAGCACTATTCCACAGAGCAATGGCTCTGCTTCCAATGTGGGCCCCATAGCTAATACTGATGGGAACAATCATGGTGGAGGATTTGAATTAAGTAATATGCAATTTTTTCTCCAAATATTGATATAAGTTGTTGGCCAATTGTCATTGATGGTCAGTTAAACCCAAGAGTTCTAGGACATATAGGACAGCACTGCCAGACTGTCCTTACTACTTCCAACCTAGTCCCCATAGTCAGCACCCCAGGAAGCAATCCTAGGGGATGTGTAGACTGGCAGAGCCTTCTGTAATTTCTGCAATAACTACTCAAGAACCAGAAAAGAAAATTCTGGTGAGCAAAGTCCATCCCTATCAGATGGTCCATCTCTCTTATAACACTGGAAATGACCTAAAAATTCATTTGCACCTGCTTTGCAAGGTGGCAAGCTGTACCGTGGGACCTTTCTATCTGACTTGCAGCTAAAACCTTTGTGTGTTGTCAATCCCCATTAGACTGTGAATTTCTTGAGAGCAGGAACTCTTACTTTTTTATTTGTAACCCCAGCACTTAACATAGTACTTTGTTTATATTAAATATTGAATAAATGATTTTTCATTCATTCATGATTCTGGGTATGCCATTCATTGATTTTAGGTGACTGGGCTTGAGCAAAACCTTGGGTATCTACAAGGATTTAGCTCTGTTTATCTCATGTTCCCTTTCCTCTGCCTCATTCTACTCACAGGGCCAAGTTCTTCAACCCTTGCCCAAAAGTGAGGTCCTTATCATTACCATATATTGACTCCATTTGGGCAGATGAATTTGAGTAAACAGGTTCTTGAAGGTTCGAGATGGGAGAGGCCCTGTGGGAAAGAGACACAAGCTATAGCTTGGAACAGAAACACAAGTGAGTGCAAGTAAGTCATGGGCAGAGCCCTGGAAGCAAAAAAAAAAAAAAAAAAAAAAAAAGCAAATATAGTATTGAATTTTAGGGAAATCAGAAGCCAAAAGGTCACTGAGAGTTCAGGCTATTCTATGAGGTAATATTTATTCCTTAGGAGCATAGGTATCAATTATACAGGCAACTTATGTGGGTTCTTTTAAGAGAGAAACAAAGTGATAGCATTGTCAAAGAGGGAGTAGTCTAAGTTGGGATGACTTGGGAACAAGGCCAGTCTATGGATAAGAATTCCTCACTGATGGAGTGACCACTCTGAATGGCTAAAATATTTATCCCTTTTTTTATCATAATAATTCTTAAAAGGAATTAATTCAGCACTTTTATTTGTCTTTGTCTGGGTTAGACTATATATGTGTGTATATATATATATAATATATATATATATATTATATATATATATAATCAGTTAGAAAAACACAGCCAATATCACTTGAGATCTCATAACCTAAGGCTAAAACCCTGACACAGAAAGGGTTAGAGAAATATGAGGAAATGAAGAGCATTGGTCAAGACTGTGAGTTAAATAACCATATTAATATTAGGCATAAGCAGATCAGTAACTAGATAGTGAAGGGGATAGTGGTGAGGGACATTGTCCTGTGAAATCCTCTGTACATTCCAAAAGGTGTGAAACAGGTCCATCCCCAGGGACAAAAGGCAGTAACTAGTCCACTTTTGAGTTTCTGTATGGGTGGGTGGGTGGGTCAGTGCAATGGGGGTAGAGAGGGTAGAAAACGTGAAGAGGGTTGAAGAGGCAGAGGCCTCACCTGTATGGGCTGGGAACAGAGCTTCTTCCTAAAAAGCACAAGAACAGGGTATCAGAAGAGGAGAAGATCTTCTCTTTCCTTCCCTTCCCCCCCCCTTCCTTCCTCCCTCCTTCCCTCCCTTCCTTTCTTCCCTTTTTTCCTCCCTTCTTGCCTTTCTTCCTCAATCTCTTTTTCTCTATTTCTCTTCTCTTTTTGTTTCGCTCTTACCTTCTCTTTCTCTGTCTCTGTCTCTTTCTTAAATTCACACACACACACACACACACACACACACACACACACAAAACTCCCACTTTTCAGATTCTTTTTATCTACTGTCTTCTTGAACCCCTTTTGGACAAAGAGTGTTTTTTGCCTTCCTTTGTGTCCCCAGAGTTTAGCACAGGGCCTGGCATAGAGCAGCACTTAACAAAAGCTTGTTGATTGCCTGACCATAAGACTCTCAAGGGCACATAATCACTTGTCAGATATGATGAAAATGGACATTTCTGTATCACTTTAAAATTTGCAAAGCTCTATACATCTGATTTCTATTTCGCAACAGTGCTATGCTTACTGGGATATAGGTTGGACTACATAGTATCTGAAATCTCTCTTAACTCTGAGTTTCTATGATTCTATGATGTCAGCCACGTGCTAACTTACCTAGAACACTTTGGAGATAAGGAAAGAGTGGAAAATGGATTCTTTGGGAGCAGAGACATCTAGATGAGGCCTTGGAGAGAGTGTTTAGACTTGGTATCTAAAAGACCTGAGTTCAAAGCTGGCTTCAGTCACTTACTAGCTGTGTGACCCTGGGAAAATTATTTAACTGCTCTCTGCCTCAGTTTCTTCATCTGTAAAGGGGGAGGGAGATAATAATAGCAACTACCTTACAAGACAGGTGTGAGGACGGAATGAGATAACATTTGCAAAGAGTTTTGCAAACCTTAAAACTATTTGGGGAACAGCACAGCTAGTAATCTAATTTGCCTGAACTGGATTAAAAAGCTGACAAGTGGGAATTTTAAAGAAGAGAGTAAAAAATTATAGGCCTGGAACAAGTTTTGTTATACCGCATCAAGAGGTGTTGGAAGATAGAATTCCAAAGAGCAGTTTTCTTAAATCAGTGAATTATAAAATTCTTTTTGAATGCACTGATTTCTCATAGACTTATCAAAATCCATACCCTCATATCAAATTGTCTACCATTTTAGAAAGAGGGAAGGGGAGGGAGAGAAAAATTTGTAATTCAAAGTTTTGTAAAAATGAATGCTAAAAATTGTCCTGACATACAATTGGGGAAAAAATAGTGTTAAAAAAAATCCATACCCCCACTTGCATTTGCCCTCTGCTTATCTATGTTTCACTGAGCTGATAACAAGTACTAGACACAGGCCACCAAGAATGCCTTCCTTGCATATATTCTAATGCAAAGCAGATTTAGAATTTGAATTAGAATTCAGCCCTTTTACCACCACAGCCATGGTTCAATTCCTAGATAGGAAGGACCTTTGAAAGGCAACATAGTACAGTGGAATGATCACTGGATTTAGATGACCTCTGTTCAAATCCTTCCTTTCCTATTTACTACCAAGTGACCACAGGCAAGTTAGTTACTTAACTTTTCTGGGCCTTAGTTTTCCCATCTGTAAAATGGGTGGGTTGCACTAGATAGTTTCTAATGTCTCTTCTAACACCAAGTCTGTGATATCTCTAGGAGAAGACTGAACAGCAATCTTGGCGTTGGGTATAATTTCATATGAGGATTAACCCTCAATCATTTGATACTAGAATCAAGGATTGTGCCTCATTATTCTGTATAATTTCTGGCAATATTAAGCAATAGCCAATGTCATTATATAGTACAAAATACTAGTTTCCCAACTCTCCTAGTGGCTACTTGTGTGACATTAGGAAAATCACTCTGTTTCTTAGTGCCTTAGTTTTTGCTCTGTGTAAAAAAGAGGGGCTGGAGTTTCCGAGGTTCTTTTCAGCTTTCAATTCTATGATCTTTGTTCACCTAAAGCTGGACTTCAGTTGGGTCAGTCACTGTTTAAGAGGCTTTCCCATAGGAGGGTAAATCTTCCTGAGGCCAGAAAAGAGAGAGAGGTGACTCATGGGACACCAGTTTCCCAAACACTAGGCAGGGTTAAGAGTAGGGAAGATGGGAGAGTCTCTAGTTGCTGTGAGAAATCACCACTGTGACTATGCTTCAGAAATGTCCTGTTCTGCACTTTCAAAATGCATTATAGAGGGGAGAAAAGGGTTTAGACCCTTAGAAAACAAACTGTGTTAAGAAACAGGTTGAAAAAAAAACAAAACCTGAACTCCATTTATTTATAATTTAATCACTAAAATTTGCCCTGAATAAGGAATGAGAAAATGTGCCTTCCTCAGCTTCATTCAACTTGATTTGAGAGATGGGGAGACAAGGGGAATGGAATACTAGCCATAATGTCAGTCTCTGTTGATAGGTTTCATAGTTTTGCTGAAAGACTTTCTCCCCCTCCCTCACTTTCCTCTTCTTCTTCCTCCTCCTTCTTTTTGTTTAGAAGGATGTCTCACTAACAAAAGTTATCAGTAAAAATTTAAAAAAAATCTATGTAAGGAATCAGCTCAGTCAGCAAAACCAAGTCATAAAACTGAAATTAGGGTAGCTAGGTGGCGCAGTGGACAGAGCACCAGCCCTGAAGTCAGGAGGACCTGATTTCAAATCCAGCCTCAGACCAAACACTTGACACTTACTACCTGTGTGACCCTGGGCAAGTCACTTAATCCCAACTGCCTAAAACAAAACAAAACAAAAAAACTCTGAAATTACAGCTGTGTAGAAACTGCTTGCATAATCATAAAATGTATATCCTCCAGCCCTGGAGTCAGCAAATCCTGAGTTCAAATCAGACACTTACTAACTGTGTGACCCTGGGCAAGTCACTTATCTTTGTTTGCCTTGGTTTCCTCATCTATAAAATAGGGTTAATAATAGCACCTACTTCCAAAGGTTGTTGTGAGGATCACAGGGCATAATAATGGTAAAGTGCTTAGCACAGTGCCTGGCACCTAGTAAGAGCGATATAAATGTTAGCTCTTATGATCCTCTTCTTCTCTCCCCTCCCCCCACTTTACTTGGCATTTTAAAAGATGTTTTGAATCCATTTATTTATAGATATTTTATCTCCTATGATATAGTATAAGCGTATTGAAGGAAAGGATGTTTCATTTTTGGTTTTGTATTCTCAGAACCTAGTATACTGCCCACACATAGTAGGTGCTTAATAAGTGCTGGATTGAGCCTCAGTACAACCTAAGAGGCCAAGGTCTTTACTCTCATTGGTGGAAAACTTCATGGGTAAAATGCTGGGATATGAGGCAAAGCAAGTGAAATGTGTATGCCAAGATACTGTCCTGGATTTATTCTTGTCGTGGGGATGTAGCCTATGTCCTGGCATTGATGCAGTTTCTTTAATGAGGCATGAAACTCCTCTGCATAGTAGAAAGTCTTCATTGCCAGGCTGCGGAGGACATACCCATGGTTCGATGAATGGGCTAACTGGTTGTACAGGTTCTCCCTCACCCCCAAATAAATGAGTCCTTGTGCTTCTCTGCTGGCTTTTTTCTCTTTGATGGAACCCCCAGATTTCCTTTCCTTCCTTCTATCCATCTCTAAGCCCTGGCAGGGTAGGTGAGGTTTCTGAACTGGTTATGAATCCCTTAGTCAGGTCAGTTATAATGTCAGTGGGGAGAGTAAGGCAAGGAACTCACACCTTATCAAGGAGTTACTGTGTCTAGGGATTTTCTCCACGTTGTAAAGGAGCCAGCATCAAGCTAGAACTCGTCTTCATCTGGTGAAGACAATGAGGACTTTATTAGAGTCGGTCAATTAGTCAATCATTATTATTATTATAATAACAAGCAATTGTTATTACTATTATTTGCAAAGCAATCAGGTTTAAATGACTTGCCCAGGTCACACGGCTAGAAAGTGTCACGTGTCTGAGGCTGTTCTTGAACTCAGGTCCTCTTGGACTCCAGGGCGGGTGCTCTATCCACCGCGCCATCTAGTTGCCCTTCCTACAGCAATTCTTTAACATTTACTAGGTGCCAAGCACTGTCCGAAATGCTGAGGATCCAAACAAAGGTTAAAAATCATCCTTGCCCTCAAGGAGTTCCCATTCTAATGGAGGAGACAACATGTAAATTACCAGGTACATTTACAATCTATACAGAACCGAGGGAAGGAAATCTCAGAGTGGAAGCGGCTAAGGGGGCTTGGCAAGGCTTCCTGTAGAAAGAGGATTTGAGTTGAGACTTGAAGGAAGCCAGGAAAGCTAACAGGCCAGGTATGGGCTGGCCAACCAGTGCAAATACATAGAGATGGCAGATGGACAGTTTGCTGCAAGTAAAAAGATTTCTTTTTTTTTTTTTTTTTTGGTGATGCAGTGTTTAACTGGAACATAAAAACCATACAGAACTCACATGGCAGCTTGGTGTAAAAAGCACGGGATTGGAAGGAAAGAGGTTGGGGCCAAGCATTATAATCAGGGCTGATTCAATATTTTGGAATCTCACTTTCCTCTTCTGTAAAATGAGACACTAGCTCAGATAAAGTCTAAGGTCTCTGACAGCTGAGACATTCTATGACTATTGAGGTGGAGGCAGGCATTTAGGATTCATTTGTATGATTTTATGTGTTTCTCAAACTATATAAAAAAATTTTTTTTAACATTGTAAAAAAAAAAGAAAAGAAGAAGAAAGAAACAGTAAGCAAGCCAGTATATTGGATTATAAAATATGTAGCAGGCAGTAACATGTCATACACTGGGAAGGTAGGAAAGGGCCAAACTGTGAAGAGCTTTAAATTCCAAATCAAGGATTTATAGGAGGTAATAGGGAGCCACTAGTGTTTATTAAGTAACATGGGCAGAAATGAGCTTTTAGGAAGATCCTATTGGCATCTGAGTGGAGACAGATTTAAAGTAAAAAGATCAATGCTACAGCAGTAGTCCAACTAGAGATGATGACAGCCTGAATTGAGTGGTGATTTTGTGAATGAGAAGAAGGAAGCATATATGAGAAATGTTGGGATGGATTACTGGGCCTGGGGTCGTGAATACCTTGAGTTTGAATCAAGCCTCTCACACTTACTATCTGTTTGATCCTGGGCAAGTCTGTTTTAGACATACTTAATTTAAAATGACTGTGGGGCATTCAGTTCTAAATGTCTAATAAACAGTTGGAGATGTGGAATTGGAGCTCAGAAGAGAGATGGAGGGCTGGATACACAGAGGTCTCACAAATTTTAGTGGTTATTAAAGCTTAAAATTGCACTAAATAGGATCTCTTGTATCATTCTGGGAATCATTGGCATTAAATAATAATTGAACCTTTTAGAGCTTATATAAGAAGAAGTGAAAACCAGAACAAAAGCCTCCTTAGTGGAGTTTCACCTTTCTGGGCTTTATTTCCTCAATTCTGAAATGATATCTAAGTTGCCTTCTGAGTGTCTAAAAAAGTAAATGCTAAATTTTGAGTCCCAGCTGAATGCCTTAGGAAGGGACTTCCCATCATGGCTCCAAGTTAGCTTTCCAATCTTATCCTTTTTATATGCACCACCTGCTAGGCAAAGTGGACTACTCTCCACTCCCCCCTCTGATTTTGTCCCCTTCCATGCCATTCTCCATATGTGGGCCCCACCTACAACCTCATACTGTCGGTCTCTTTCTTCAATGTCTGATGCCAATATCACTCATTCCAAGAAGGCTGCTTCTTCCCACTCCGTTAAAAAAATCATATTTCTTTCCTCAAACTTATACTAACATTTGTGTGGATCACTCTTTTGCATTTGTTTCACTCTTCCTTATATGGCAACTGTGCGCATGGCTTTCCCTCTATTTGACTGCAAGCTTCTTGAGGTCATGGGCTGTTTTGGTTTTGTCCTTTTGTTTCCTCCCTGAGCCTGGCATATAGTTGGTCTTTAATGGATGTTTGTTGAATTGAGTTCAGTTAAACTCTCAGCCTGGCATCCCTGATCACTGGCTATTAGAACTGTAATGAAGTCTAAGTGGGAAAAGCCTAAACACAAGTCTAATATATCAAACTGATTTCATGAATATATGGGCTTAACAAAGGGTAACCAAGGTGAGCTACAAACCTGATTTTCTCCGGAGTTTGAAGTAAAACACAGGAGCGACAATAATGAAGATAAAGATGCTGATCAGGGAAACAGTGATTCCCACAGTGGCCATGTTCTTCTGACTTCTGATAGGAACTGTGAGGAAACAGCTATGAATGAGATCTGGAGGAGACATACCTGGGGTCCAAAGCATTTCCAGGTATTGGAATATGGGTGGAAAACAGAAATCTGTGGGTTTTTCTCTTAGCAACAGTTGTAGGTAGGGTTGGATGATCACAGCGATATTTACCTAGTAACTTGAATTATAGTTTGCCAGTTACAGACCAACATAGGGCAGAGGGTGACAAGTACTTGTTGAGGTCTTACTTCATGTCATCCCCTTTCCTTGTGACTCATGACACAGATCTTGGGTGAGCCAATTTCCGAAAGTATTGCCCTATAATCCACCATCATCAAAGTTTCTCCATCATTTTTGGATGTCAGCATCAATCCCTGAGCATTTTACCTACCTGAGATGGAGAGTGTCAGAATTTCGCTGAACTGGCAACTGAAACTGTTGTTGGCCCTGCAGAAGTACTTCCCAGAATGCCTAGTTGTCATGGTGAGGTTGAAGGAAACTGCAACTCCAGAGGAGGCCATTTTGTTCTCAAGGATTTCCTTCTCGTGATAAAGTTGATACTGAATTGGAAAAGAACCTCTGAGGGCTTGACAGTGAAACGCCACCACATCCCCCACAGCGGCCTGTGCACCAAGTGCACTGATGTTGAAGAGTGGCTGAGACACTGGAACTGATAGAGAAAATCAGGCAGGTCAGAGTTTTCCCCTCTTGCAAGAGACTCATGAATTCTTTACCTAAGACATGTGAAACAGAAAGATGTCTCAGTGGTCTTTCCGGGCCCCATAGGCCATATGTTCTATATTGAGTTTTATCTCCAGATACTTTCTAGATTTTACAGTTTTTTTTTCCATCAGAGTTGTTTTCTGAATTGATCAAACACACAAGTCTCATCTTCATTAAACTCAGAAATGACTGCTCATTTGACAATTTTTTTATTTTTTTTTTAGGCAATTAGGGTTAAGTGACTCCCCCAGGGTCACACAGTTAGTAAATGTCAAGCATTTGGTCTGAGGCTAGATTTGAACTCAGGTCCTCCTGACTTCAGGACCGGCGCTCTATCCACTCCGCCACCTAGCTGCCCCTTCATTTGACAATTTTCAAAACGTCGTAAAGCAATCTGACTGGGATTGTGTTTAGACTATCATTTACACCAATGCCACAAAGAAGCTCCAAATGGATATACACCTCAAGTATAAAATTACAAACAAAATATTAAGGAAATTGAAAGGGGCTATCTTGTACAGCTCTGACTAGAAGGAGAATTCTTCAATGCTTAGTCAAATTCTCAAATAAACAAGGGATAGAAGTGATCACAGAAAATAGAGCAGACAAGTTCAATCACAAAAAATTGAAAAGCCTCTATATGAACACAATCAAAGTTTCCTTAGTTGTAAGATGAAGATAATAATAGCACCTACATCACAAGGTTACTGTGAGAATCAAATGAGAATTAGAAAGAAGCAGTTAATTGGGAAACATTTTTTGCAGCAATATCTGTCATAAAGATCTGATTTCCATGTTATACAGGAAGTTGATAAAAATAGTATCAGAACAAGAAAATTCCCTGATAGAAAAATGGCCAGAGTATATGAATAGGCAACTTATTCAATCATTAATTCAATAAGTATTTGTTAAGCACCTACTATATGCCAGGCACTGTGGTATGTTTTGGAGATTCAAAAACTAAAATAAAATAGTTACTGCTTTTGAGAAATTTAAATTGTATTGAGCAAAACAATGTGTGCATAGAAAATTAAATACAAAATATATAGAAAGAAATTTTGAGGGAGTGAGTACTAGTAACTGGAGAGATGAGGATCAGTCTTCTGCAGACAAAGGCATTTGAATTAAACTGTAAATGATGCTGGGGATTCTCAGCAGCTGAGGTGAGAAGGGAGTTTTCTTCCTTTATAAAAAATTTTGGTATTAGTATTACTAAGCCACAATCTCCTCCCTCCTCTACCCTCTCTCCTCACCAAAATAAAAGTCCTCAATTGTAGCAAATAAGTATAGTCACTCAAAACAAATCCATACACTTCGGCGATACCTAAAAATGCATGTCTCATTTCGCATCTTTAGCTCATCACCTGTCTGTCAGGAGGAGGATTTGCAGTTCTGATTGGTTGTTGAGTTAATCCTAGTTCCCATATTGTTAACTATTCTTTTCTTCTATGATATTGTAATCATTGTACAATATTTTTTCTATTGGCTCTGCTTATTTCACTATGGGTCATTTCATACAAGCACTCACAAGTGCTCTGAATCCATCCCTTTCATAATTACTTTCTTTTTAAAAAATCTTATTTTCAGTTCTGAACTCTCTCCTTCCTGCCCCTTCTCTATTCATTGAGAAGGCAAGAAACCTTTCATCATTTCTTACAGGCAAATAATATGCCATTTTGCTCATCAGCTCTCACGGATTTAATTATCATCCTTATGCTGATGATTTTTATATTTACTTATCCAGCCCTAACTTTGTTGCTGCCCTCCAGTCTGGAATCTCCAATTGCCTATTGGACATCTGTAACTCAATGTCTTATAGATATCTTAAATTTCACATATTCCAAACTGAACTCATTGTCTTTCCCCCCAAGCCTTCTCTCCTTTCAAATTTTCCTATTACTTCTGAGGTACCATCATCCTCCCAATGACCTAGGCTCAAAATCTAGGTGTTATCCTCAACTTCTCACTCTTTCTCAACTTCCACACTGGATCTGCTGCCAAGGCCTTCCAATTTTCCTTCCCCAACATCTCTGATATGTACTCTCTCTTCTGACACTCTTCTGACACTGCCCCCACCCTTTTGCAGACTCCTTTGCTTCACATCTGGACTATTGCAAGAGCATGCTGGTTAATTTCCCCGCCATGAGTCTGTCCCCACTCTAGGCCATCTTCCAATCCTGTCAGAGTGATCCTCCCAAAGCTTGGGTCTAACTATGTCATCACTCCTCTCCTTCATTTATTTATTCCCCTTACCTCCATTCAGCAAACTCTATTGATTCCCTATTATAGACAGGATCAAATATAAAAACCTCTGTTTAGCATTTTTTTATGTTTAGCCTTTCATAACTTTTATCTCCCTGTTCCCCTCTCCTCTGCTTTTTTAGTCTTCTTATGACTTTTACCCCAATATGTATTCTATGATTCGGTCTCTCTCTCTCTTTTTTTTGTGTGAGGCAATCGGGGTTAAATGATTTGCCCAGTGTCGCACAGCTGGTAGGTATCATGTGTTTGAGGTTGGATTCGAACTCAGGTCCTCCTGACTCCAGGGCTGGTGCTCTATCCATTGTGCCACCTAGCTCTTTGTTGTTTCTTAAACAAGACACTCCATCTCCTGACTCCAGGTATTTTCATTGGCTGTCCCTCTTATTTGGAGCTCTCTCCTTCCTCATTTCTGCCTCCTGGCTTCCCTGGCTTCTGCCAAATTCTATCTCAAATCCTATCCTCTACAGAGAGTCTTCTCTGACCTCCCCCCCCCCTTACTTCTGGTGCCTTCCCTCTATTAATTATTTACAAATTATCTTATAGATAGCTTGTTTGTACATAAGTGTTTGCCTGTTTCCTTCCCTATTAGATTGTGAGATCCTTGAGAGCAGGGACTGTCTTTTAACTTTAGCACTTAATATTGCCTGGCACAAAATAAGCCCTTAATAAATGTTTATTGATTACTTGACTACATTTATACACTATAATTTTTTTCAGTCAGTGCTTGATAGATAGTAACTATTTTGTTGAGGACAGAGTTAAAAAAAAAAAGAAATGCAAGCAAACAACAACCGCATGAAAAAACGCTCTGCATTTTTATATAGAAATTAAGGGGGGGGGTAGGTACCCATCAAGGGAAGATCTGAACAAATTGTGTATATGAATAAAATGGAATATTATTGCATCATAAAAATGATGAAAGAAATATTCTCAGAGAAACCTTTGAAGATCTGCACGAACTGATGCAAAGTGAAGTGAGCAGAATCAGTAGAACAATGTATACAATAATACTATAAAGAAAACAAATGTGAAAGACTTAAGAACTCTAATCAATGCAATGATCAATCATGATTCCAGGGGATAAGTGATGAAGCATGCTACACACCCACTGCCAGAGAGGGGATGGATTCAACAGGCAGAATAAAACATACATTTTCAAACACAACCAATGAGAGAATTTGTTTTGCTTGACTAAGCATATTAGCTACAAGGTTTTTTTTCCTTTTTTCTTTTTAGTGGGGCCAGGACATATGGAGTACAGACTAGGGTTGCCACCATCAACAAAAATAGAAAGAAAAGAAAGAAAAGAGGATCTTTGAAGCATTTTTAATAAACATACAGAAGAGGAGGAACAGAAAGAATCATAGGTAAGCAGAACAGCTTCCAAAGCTCTATGTTGAATTTGTTATTACTTAAAAAGAAAAGCAAGTTGAAATAGCAGAGATATATTTTTATGTACAATACTGTTTTTTTCTGTTCTGCTACACATATGGAAATGCTCCTAATAAAAGACAAAAAAAGATAAATGCTTAAGGGGCTATGGTAAGACAAGTTCATTAATGCAATGTTACTGGAGCTATGGATTGGGCTAACTATTTTGAAAAACAATCTGTAGTTATGCCAAAAAAGTCACTAAACTATTCATGATCCTTGACCCATTACTAGGGATATACCCTAAGAAGGTCCAAGTTCTCATTTGTACACTAATAATTATAGTAGCACTTTTTTTCCTCCTATAAACAAAGTAGATACCCCTCAATTAAGGGAATAGTTAAATAACCAATGAGTCAATCAACAAGTACATATTAAATATCTACTATGTACTAGGCACTGATAACACAAACAATTAAACAGTCACTACTCACACATATACACACATATGCAGAATAAATATAAAATGACATATGAATAGAATGGAATATTAGTAGGTTATAAGAAATGACGAAGATGGAGAATTCAGGGAAACGGGAAGAAACGGGTTGATGGAGAGCAAAGCAGAGCAAAGAAAAATGTACATAAATGATCACAAATGTAAAGGAGAATGATACTGAAAGATTTCAGAGCTCTGATTAATGCAGTGACCTATTACGACCTCAAAAGACTGATGGTTAAGCAGGCAGCGAGGTGGTGGGCTAGAGGTGCAGAATCAGATATCTGTTTTTCAGAAATAGCCGGTGTATTGATTTGTTTTGCTTGACCATAAGTTTTTGGTACAAGGCAGGGTTCCATGGATAGGGGCAGTGGTTGTGGAGAGAATCAGTGGGAAATGACAGAGGCATAAAAACAATAACAACAACAGAAGTATCAATAAAATACTAAGGAAAAAACCTCCTCATGACTCTGTAGGGGCCCCTCTCAGGGGAACAAAGGCTGATTGAGATGAATGGGGGTAGGACTCACTTTCCACGGTGACATTCACCCTCAGGCTGCTGGTAGTGCTGATGCCATTGTTAGCAGTACAGTAATACTTCCCTGCATCAGTCTCATTCACAGCAGAAAGCACAAACTTCTCCTTCAGAGAACATCGAGTCTTCTCTCCCAGACTTGCCTTAATGCCCTCTCTGTGCCAGGAGAATGTGATGTTCCCTGTGCCCTGAGCTACTGAGCAGATGAGGACCAGCTTCTCTCCTTCAGTCACCTGCCCCCCGGAAGGCTGGGTCTCCATGAGAATGCCAGAGATGGGGATTCCTGGGTGAACACAAAGTGATACATGAAGGCCCTCCCTGACTTTGGGAAATGTCAAAGGTGGCAGGGAAAGCTGCACCCAACTTGTACGTGTCTGTACAATGGGAACTTAGGAATAGTAAGGAAGGAGGAAATGGGTCACTGGTATATTAAGACTGGACATGGAGAATAATCCTGAATGTATTAGTGGGGAGGGGTCACCTTTCCCCAGTTTAAGACAGTGTTGATTCCCCACCCATAAGTTTCTGAACCACAACTTTGGCTTTGGGCAATTCCAAGGGAGGACCTAGAGGGAAATTGAGACATTTGAGTGATGCCTCACTGGGTAGACCTTTTTGTCAGATAGAATAGAGAGGCTACTGAGAAGTGTCAGCTCTATACTAAAGTGACATCGTTCAAGTTACTCTGATCACATTTGCCTTCAAGGCCCAAATGAAAACCTTTTACTCCTCCAGCCCACAATTATTTGTCTTCTATTATCTCTTCTTCTAGAGTTAGATGTTGAACTCAGTTCACCATTAATCTATCCTCTGATTGTTTCTTGGAAATGTCTTGTATCTCCTGATGCCATTGTCAGCTCCTTGCGTTCAGAAGCCACACCTGAAGTTTCTTTGTATCTTGCCACTCTGCCCCACTGCCCAAGCACTGAGAATGGTATTGGGCATGAAGCAAATACTCAATAAATACTTTTTTGGAAGTGGCTGGATTGGCACGAAGAGCAATGGTATAGTGTTATCAAAGTATTATTAACTAATCCTGAAATTCTGGGACTCCTTTGTTCATTTTAGTCTTGATGACCACAGCTCTAACATGACTGGTGTAATGGGGCTTAAGATAGCTTGAAACATAACATTGTATTTCTTTAGAGCATAGATGTCACTGTATTAATGAATCCTCCTTAACCCCCATTCTTTAATGAGTTTATCTCATTTATTTTTTGTAATATCATTGCATTGCAAATTTTAAAAATTGATTAGAGGGGGGCTGAGCCAAAGCTATAAAAAATAAGATACATTTCTCAACTGATAAATGATCAAAGGATATGCATAGGCAGTTTTCAGAGGAAAAAAATGATCAACAGTCACATAAAAATGCTCTAAATCACTAAGAATTAGGGAAATGCAAATTCAAAAACTCAGAGATACTGCCCAACACCTATCATACTGGCTAACATGACAGAAAAGGAAAATAACGTGCTAGAGGGGATGTGGAAAAATAAGGACACTAATGTACTGTTGGTGCAGTTATGAACTGTTCTAACCATTCTGGAGAACAATTTGGAACTATGCCCAAAGGGTTATAAAACTGTGCATAGCCTGTTATCCAGCAGTACCACTACTAGGTCTGTATACCAAAGATACAAAAGAAAAAGGGAAAGGACCTATATATCAAAAATGTTATAGTAGCTCTTTTGAGGGGCCAAGAATTGAAAATTCAGGGAATGCTTGTCATTTGGGGAATGACTAAACAGGTCACGCTATATGGTTATGATGCAATACTACTGTACTATAAGAAATGACAAGAGGGATGGGTTCAAAAAAACCTGGAAAGATGTATGAACTGATATAAATGACAGTGATCAGAACCAGGAGAACATTGTATAAAGTACAGCAATATTGTAATAATGATCATCTGCGAAACACTTAGCTACTCTGATCAATACAATGATCCACACAATTGCAAAGGACTTATGATGAAAAATGCTATCCACCTACAAAGAGAGAACTGATGAACTCTGAGTGCAAGTTGAAGCACCTTTTTTCACTCTTTTATTTTTCTTGCTTTTTTTCCTGTAACATGGCTCACATGGAGATATGTCTTGTATGATTTCACCTTCATAGATGATATCATATGCCTTTTCAGTTGGTAGTGAAGGGGCTGGAAGGAGGGAGAGAATTTGGAACTCAAAATTAAAAAAAAATGTTAAAATTGATTTCAAGGTGCTTGCTCAGGATAGAATTCACACTGTTTGCTTAGGGCAAATTTCTGTTGCTTGCCCCCAGCAAGTTATTTACTTATAACTCTATTGATGTCCTAATGCAAGAGAAGACCCACAGGAAAGATAGTAGGCTGTCTCCAAAACCACTCCCATTCCCAGAGGAAGAGGAAAATCACATTACAAAGTATCCCAATGTCTAAATTGATGCCAGCACCCTTTCCTCCACCTCTCAATCCCAGCCCTGCATCACTGACACTTACTTTTCACACTGATCTTCACGTGGTTGCTCTGTTTCTGAATATTCTGAGTCACTGCTTTTGCCTCACACCAGTATGACCCTGAGTCTTCCCTCCAGACAACTGGGATCTGGAGCTCCTGAGACTCCTTCCAACCTGATACAATGACTCCATCATCTCTGAAGAAGGAGAAGTGCAGCTTGGTGTCTGACCTTTGTGGAGGGAGTTGGGTGTCACAACTCAGGGTCACCGGGGTCCCCTCGGTGGGCTGGGAGGTTGTGATTTTCAGCTCAGGAGATGGAAACAGTTCTAGAGAGAGGAGGCAAACACAATGCCCTGGACAGTGAGTGTCAGAGCTCCTAGGGTGACATGTCTTGTGTTCTCAGATGAACAGATAAAAGGACACATGGATGATTCCATCTCATTTCCCTTCTATGCTCCAGCCATGAGCTCTCCCTCCTGTTATGTGCCTACCCAGTCCTCCACGCATAGACCTTGGCCTTGAAAAGCCCTTCCCTTTCTTCCTTCTGCCCCTCAGGATTGAAGCTCATACCTTGGACTTGGAGCTGCACTTTTCTTGACATTTTTCCCCAAGGAACCAAGATATATATCAAATCCCCTGTGCAGTGATAGTTGCCACTATAACTTAAGCCAACTTGTGGGATGGAGATGGAGAGATCAGAGTTTTCAAGGAAATAATACAATTTCTTTTCATCTTTATAGTATGCCACGTCTTTGATTTTCTTATGCTTTCCTCGGCATCTCAGGGTCAATGTGTCTCCTTCAAATACAGAATATGGAGTCTGCAGAATCAGTGAATCTGTAAGAGAACCCAGAAGACCTTGGAGACTCAACTGCCATCTTTGTGCCCTGTCCTCCTTCCAATTGTCTCTAAAGGGACAAGCACCTGGAGATTATCTGGTGTATGGTGGGGGATCCAGGTTCCCCCTATGCTTCCCACTTGACCCAGATGTCTCCTCTCCCTGGAACAAGGAGCCTTCCTAGATGATGTCCTCTCAGATAAATCCCAACATATCTGCTTGGGGAAGGGAGTCCCATCCTTTACTGTACTGCTCTCGGTGGTCAGGGTTAGCCCGTAGCTGCCAGGGGATCTCAGGGTACCCAACTGCTTTCTGAATGACTTATTGGGGAGCAGTAAAGGTTGTTACCCTCAGCTCTGCTGCTGTCCCAGTGATATCATGTGACATTCTAGAGCACCCAGTGCTCTCCTCTTGTCCCTCCCTCCCTGTGGGAGACTGCATTTAGACTGCCCTGAGGCTTGGTGAGGCTCTCTGTCCTCACCAGAAGAAACTACCAGGTTCACAGGGTCACTGAGGGCTGAATCCTGGGTCTGGCATCTGTATTCTCCAGCTTGATTAGTCTCAATGCTGTTTGTAGACCAACTGTCTTGCAATTGTTGGTTTTCATACCACCATGTTGTCCCTAGTTTGGAGGAGTTGAATCCATGGCAAGTCAGAGTCACTTTTTCCCCTTTGAAGATAGTGATCCATGGAGGGTTGAGATGCACCACGGCTTTCTTTGCAATGGCTGGGTGGGAGAAAAAGAACAGCAGAAGATGAAGGTGCCTGTACACAATTCCTGGAGTAGAGGAGAGGTAGGAGAGAAGCAGGGAAGTCCTGGCCCCACACTACCATGGGATGAAACCCTGAAGCTTAGGGTTCCAGATTTAGGTCCCCTGTCTCTGGCCACAGTCCACTTACCAGCTTGAAATCTAATAAAAACCAAAGACTAGCACCTTGGCTTCCTGAAATGCTGAGCCTCCATCTGATTCCAGTCCAAACTGACAGGAGAGGTTAGATATTGAATAAAGATTGGTTGGGGGGAGGAGAAATCAAAAGTGCCAAAATGAACCCAGGAGATCAGGACTTGTGTTGCTTAAATGGCAAGCCAGATCCCCAGGAGACTGGGTTGGTTCTGAAGCCTCCTTGGAAACTGACATCCAATCAAGTTAGACACTCAAGATATAGTTTATTTCCACTTGAGTGTTTCCAATGCTATCTGTACATGTTATCATATTTCATCCTCACATATGTGAAAGAGGCAGTGTGATTGTTATTATCACCATTTTACAGATGAGAAAATTTGGCTCAGAGGTGAAGTGACTGGTCTAAGGTCACACTGGTAGGTAGTGTCAGAGCCTAGACTTGAGCCCATGTCTCTTGATCCATACTCTTTCCATTGCACCATTTTCAGAGGACCTAAGTTTGAATTCTGGTTTGAAGCTGTGTAATTCTGGACACAAGATTTCACCTAACTGGGCCTCAGTTCCCTTTTCTGTAAAATGAGGAGGTTAAATTAGATCATCTGCAAGGTCTTTTCCTGCTCTAAAATATAAGAGCTTATGATTCAAAGGATGGTCCTTTTTGCATCGGGATGCTCAGGGTCAGCTCCCAAATCCTCAAAATAGCAAATAATTATCAGTGTTCACATCTGGTGGGCAGAAGAATCCTGAGCAAAAACCATCGTGGGACTCAGAGCAGCCTGAGCCTGACTCATGGGATCAGTCAGGGAAGAGAGTTGTGGCACCGCAGACCTCAGGCAAGAGGTGAAGGGCAGGCAGGGCCGCCTCAGACAGACCTCTGTGGACGTCCTGTGGTGCTGAAGGAGACTGAATTACCCAGAGACCCCAGAGAGCAAAAAAAAAGATAACTCACAAGCTTGTGCGCTGACCAAACCTGAGGAAGAGATAAGAGCCAGAGGTTAAACTGAGTGGAGATTCCCAAAACTTTTCAACTTTTCCAACTTCTCAGAAATTCTTCAGATCCCTCTGAGATATTATCTACTTTCTTCAATTTCCTAGGAACACTTGGCCCTAAAAGAAATCTTCTATATCATGACTTTTTAAAAATAGTATTTTATTTTTTCCAGTCACATGTAAAGACTATTTTTAACATTCATTTAAAAAAATTTTTGAGTTCCAAATTTTCTCCCTCTCTCCCTCACCTCCCTCCTCCCTTAGGCAGCAAGCAATTTGATATAAGTGCAATCATGTAAGACATATTTTCATATTAGTCATGATGTGAAAGAAGAAACAGATCCAGAGGGGGGAAAACATGAAAAAAAATAAGGAAAGTAAAAACTGTATGCTTTGATCTTCATTCAAACTCCATCAGTCCTTTCTCTGGATGATAGCATTTTTCATCATGAGGATTACGACTCTTGAAAAAGCCTTTCACAACCTGGCCCCAACCTCTCTTTCCAGCCTCATCATATGTTATGCTGTTTCCTGGGCTTTCTGAGCCTGCTAAGATGTTAGCCTGTGCATTCTTTCCCCATGACACTTCATTTCTGGACTCTCTCCTTCATACTGTCTGTTCCCCATGCTTGCAATGCATGTCCTCTTCATATCCACTAATAAAATCCTTCTTTTCCTAAGGATTCACCTCAAGTACCCACCTTCAGCATGATGCCTTTCCTGGTCCCTCATATATCAGTGCCCTGTCTCCTAAATTACCCTGATTTTTAACAATTTGCTTTTATTCTGTCTCTATCTATGCCTATATACTTGGTCTCCCCTGAGAGCATGCAAGGTTCTCGAGAGTAGAAATTATTTCATTCTTTGTACTTACAACGCCTAGAGACTAGTTCAGTGCCTGGCGCATGGTAAAGCTTTAATAGATGTTTGTTGATTGATTGATTAATTCATCTTTAAACACTAAATAGATATTTGCAACTCAAAATTCCAACTGTTATGAGTCAATTCAATAAACATTTTTTAAACACCTACTATGTGCCAATCACTGTGCTTAGTGTTGGGGATACAAAAAATGTAAAAGACAATTACTGCTTTCAAGGATCTTGGCATCTAATTATCCCCTTAAAAGTTTGGACTGTCTAGTCTGATAAACTATGGATTCAAATAGCACAGAGTCATGGAAGGGCAGTGGATAATTTATTTTTTCCCTATATACAGAGGAGTCCTGACCTAAAGAAAGTGGTATAAAGTGGAAGGGACTCTAAGAGTCAAGAGACCCGGGTTCTAGACCTGATTTTTCTGCTATTTAAGTGACTTGGGCAAGTCACTTAAACTCTCTAGTCCTTGATTTTCTTCTCTTTAAAATGAAAAGGATGAAATAGAAGGCCACTTGAGATTCCTTATAATTTTTACACTCAAGAGATACTTGCTAACTCTTGTCTAGAAAGAAATCATAGAATCACAGATCAAAAAATCACAGCATTTTGAGTTGAAAGGGAGCTCAGTAATCATTTATAGCAGACCTGCACAATCTACAGCCCATGGGCCACTTATGGCCTTCTGGCAGCTTATAGCATTCCAAAGGATTTTGGTGGCCTGTGAAAAATATAGAGAAAATCCTTTGGTGGGTCACAGGTTGTGCAGGCCTGATCTATAAGTATCTGAAAATTATTTAGTTCAAAGTAAAATAATTAAATTTCTTGAGCTATACAATAAACCTTTATGGCTTGTTATATCTTCAAAAAATTTAATGTGTAGTATTTTCTCTTTTTGCTATAATCACTTATTTTATGGCATTGAGTTCACAAAATTTTGACATGTATTGTTTAGTTTTTCATCATGAAACCAGACCACACTGGATTAGACAAATCTTTGATGGATAACTCATTTTTAAAAGTTAGGGTTTTTAATGGGGTTTAAATTAGAGAAGGTCTTAGACCTTTGAAGCATTTTGATTTCTTTTTCTAGGATAAATTTCTTAGTGTGTGACAAGGATCATGATGCAGTATTCTATTTCTAATTGGAAATTTCTGTAATTCCAGAGCAGTTCTGCTTCTCACTCTATCAATACATGCTTTAGAGTTCACCATTATGTTAGTGGGAACAAAACTTCAGACTCAGTGGAATTTTTAAAAGATCCACCAAAATGATGTTTTATGGTCTGATAAAGATAACCCAATCTTATAGGCTCACTTGGATTCTAAAGAAAGAATACTTTCACCTAGAAAGTATATTCTAATATACTTTTGTTTCATATATCTTTTGGGAATTCAGTTAACTTTCCATTTATTTATTCAGATACTATGCCATTTGTACTTATATGTTTAGTATTGATAGTAGTTAATTGTCTTGCTGTATATGCTCGAAAAAAATTGAGTTTCTTCAGTAAGAAAAATACAGTCTTTTCATATTTTTAGTACTTTAGTCTTTGTATTTTATTGCACATGAGAAGTATTGTAATTTTTTCCTCATCAAAGCAAAGGCTTACAGCTGTTCTTTTCTCTCTTGGTATTCTTCCAACTTCAAGAAGAATGATCAATAACAGCCTGTTTAGCTACCAGGTCCCTCTGAAGGTCTTTGCTTGTTTTCCAAGGATTAATTAGGCTCTTTTGCATCAATATTTTGTCAGGTTGCATCAATAATTTGTCTTAGTGTTGCTTTGCATTTTTGACTTCACTTTTCCTTGGCGTGACTAATCCTGATTCATTGTAGGCTTGAATGATACTTGAAATGTTTGCCTTCTCCACAACAATAGCCACTGCAATAACTCTAATGGTAAGTGGAGTGTGCTCTTCATGAACTACAACTTCTGTATGTTTTCTTGGAGTAATATCTATTCTTAAAAATCACAAAATTAAGAACAAGAATACAACAAAAGAGACATCTGGTTCTTGAAAGATATTTGTATGACATGAAATCTAACACTTAGTTGACAGAGAACTAACTGAGTCTGGGAAGCAGTTTCAGTCTGGTTTTATCTTGTCAAGATCAGACGGACCTGAGTCAGCTTAGTGTCAGTAGAAGCACATATATATGACCACTGCTATCACAAAATGAAACCGTATCTTAACTCTTTCTTGTGTCATGTAACTGCCATATTTCTGTAGTCTAGTCCTTATGTAAAGAGGAATTTTCTCTATAAATGCCTGATGTGGTCATCTGGTCTTTGCCCAAAGAACTTACAATGAGGGGAAATTCATTAATCCTTGAGTCAGGTAAGTCCACCCTCAGCTCAAATTATTAGAACATTTTTTCCTGATACTATGGCTTAACTTGCTTCTTTGTATCTTGCATCTATTGATCCTTTTTCTGTTCTCTGAGACTAAAGAGAATAAGCCTATTCCCCCATCCAAATGATATCCCTTTGAATATTTGAAGACAGCTATCCCCCTGGGTTTTTTCTTCTCCAGGTAAAACATCTTTAGTTCCTCTAATTGATCCTCATATGATGTGGATCCTTCTGCATTCTGCTGGTCTCCTCTGGACATTCTCTAGTTTATCAATTTCCCTAAACTGTGGTGCCTGGCAAAAATAGAATTCACAATATCAATAGAGATGAGTAATGAAACTATATTCTGTTTAAAGGAACCATAGACAATAAATTAGTATCACTACTAAACATATATGCATCAAATGGCATAGTATCTAAATACATAAATGGAAAGTTAACTGAATTCCCAAAAGATATATGCAACAAAAGTATCTTAGAAGAGACTTTCATACTTCTTTTTTCAGAGCTGGACAAATCAAACAGAAAGGTAAACAACAGGGCAACATATAGAACTGAAAAAACCATGGGAGAATTTAGAGCTGAAAAACTTATGACATTAAAAAGATTTCAGTACTACCTGTTGCCTTTACAAAAACAGATCACGTCCCAGGAAATAAATAGTAAATAGGTATAAGAAAACAAAAATACCAAACACTGATTTTATATATCATAATGTGATAAAATAGCAATCAATACAGGGGGCATAAGCAAAAGATCAGGACCTAAACAAAGATTTTAAAATAGCATTCTGAATATGAGTCCATTAAAATTATTGAAACAATAACTACATAAAAGGCAATTATAAGAATGAGAAAATATGTAAAAAAAATTTGGGGATATACCTAAAACAATCCTCAGGGGCAAAATTATAATCCAAAGGATTTTTTTTAATAAAAAATAAAGAGCATTAATGAATTGATTATGTAGGTAAAAAATTAAAAATCAATAAATCTAAAATTAAAAAAAAAGAGTTCTTACACCACCCCTCCCACATACACAGACATACACTTAGATGCTTCAGTCTACACTGTGAACCTATCACATTTCTATCTGGAGGTGAGTATAACTTTTCATTATGAGTTCTCTGAAATTGTGGCTGGTCATTACACCAATCAGAGTTTCTACTTCTTTCAAAATTATGTATACTTCCTCAATTTCCAATTCTTTGCCACCACAAAAAAGGACTGCTATAAATATTTTTGTTGATAGGATTCTTTTTTCTCTTTCTTTAATCTTTTTGAAGCATGGAACTAGTGACAGTATTGTTGAATTCAAAAGAATACACCATTTAATGACTTTTTGGACACAGTTCCAAATTGCTTTTCAAAGTTTCCAGACCAGCTTACAACTCTACCTACAGAGTATTAATGTAGCTACTTTTTCCACAGTCTCTCCAATATCTGTGATTTTCTTTTTTGGTCAACATTTCTAATCTGATGGGTGTGAGGTGGTACACATTTTAATTTTAATTTCTCTAATTATTAATCATTTAGAGTAGTTTTTCATATGTCTAGCAATAGCTTGGATTTCTTCCCCTAAAAACTGCCTATTTGTATTCTTTGACCATTTATTAACTGAGGAATGGTTTTTTTTCTTATAAGTTTGAAATAGTTCCCTATATATCTTAGAAATGAAACCTTTGTTAGAGAAACTTACTACAAAGATTCTCACCAATTTTCTTCCCCTCCAATCCAACATTGGTTTTATTTGTGGAAAAACTTTAAAATTTATGTATTTGAGGGGGTAGTTTAGATTTATCTAGGTCTTAGAGGGTAAATTAAGATTTGCTAATTTTTTAAACTAATTTTACTAATTTTTTTTACTAACTAAATTTTTTTGTTTTCTATTTTTCCTCATAACTTATTTAACTTTTTCTTTAAGAATTCAGATGCTATGCTATTTCATGTATATGTATTTGGTACTGGTATTAACTAATTGTGTATGACATTTTTAGCAAAATATAGTTTTCCTGTTTATGTCTTTTGAATTATTCTATATTTACTGTTACTTCAGGGATGATGTTTGCTGCCCTTGCCTTTTTTTTACTTAAGATGAAACATAATAGAATCTATTATAACCCTTTATTTTAACTCTCTGTGTATCCTTCTATTTCAAGTCTATTTCTTGTAAACACCATATTGTTAGATTTTGGTTTCCAATCCATTCTGCTGTCCTCTTCTGTTTTATGGATGAGTTGATACCATTCACATTCAAAGTTATGATTGTTAATAGCAGATTTCCCTCCATCCTATTCTCTTATACTTTTCTTTCTCTTTACTTTCTGCCCCATCTTTAAGAACTTATTTTGCTTCTGAATAATTCCTCTCTTAATTTACCCTGCCTCTTATTCTTCCTTTTCCTATGACCTTTTTCCCTCTTGTTTCCCTGTTGGGTACAATGTGTTTTTACACCCAACTATGTCTTTATAAGGGAATTCTTTCCTCCTTTGACCAGTATAGCTGAGAGTGAGGTTAAAATGTTGCCTCCCACCTCCATCCCCATTGCTGAAAAGACTTCTACTTTCAAACCATGGTTATGTGAGATAATTTCCCCTATTCTTCTTCTTTTTCCCCTTTCCCAATGTATTCTTCTTCCTTTTCTATTCTTCTTTCAAGATCCTCAAAATATAACAGAATCACTTCCATGCCCTCTGTCTATTTAAAAGCCTTCTATGATGATGAGAGAATTCTGAAGGAATACATATATCATCTTAACATACTTTACACATAAACATGTTATGCTTGTTTCAGTAAATAAAATTTTATGAAATGCTTGCTATAGATCAGGCACTGTGCTGAGTTCTGGGTTACAAAAAAAGGAAAAGGATGGTTCCTGATGACAAGGAGCTCACAATCTAATGGAGAAGACAACAGGCAAATAATTGTGTACTGACAAGCTAAGGACTAGAGCCATAAGAAATAATCAACAGAAGGAAGGTACTAAAATTAAGAAGGATTAGGACAGCTTCCTGTAGAAGACAGGATTTTAGGTAGCTAGGAAGCCAAGAAAGGAAGTACGGGAGGCACAGGCGAGGAGGAGGAGCATGCCACTCATGGGGAACAGTCAGGGAAAATACCCAGAATTGGGAGATGTATTGTCTTGTTTGAGGAGCAGCAAGAAAGCCAAAGTCACAGTATCGAAAGCAAGTGGGGTATGGCTTGGGTTGGGAATGACACATAAAGGGTAAGAAGACTGTACATGTGGATATATGTATGTGAGTGTGTGTGTGTGTGTTTGTGTGTAGGAATGGTGTTCAATAACAACATGAACTAAAACAAAATGGAGTGAGCAAAAACAGGGCATAATTTATACAAGTACAGAAACATTGTAAAGAAAAACAGCATCGAAAGACATAAGAATTCTGAGCAATTCAATGACCAACCAACTCTCCAAAGGAAATAATGAAATATGCTACCCACCTCTTGACACATATGGCAGACAAAAGGTGCAGAGAGAGAAAAACACAACCCAGTGTCATCCTCAACTCCTCACCCTCTCTCACTGCTCATATCTAATCTGTTACCAAGGCCAGTTGATTTTACCTTCCTAACATCTCTCATGTATATCCCTTTCTGTCTCCTGACGCTGCCACCACCATGGTGCACACCCTCATTGCCTCACACCTAGATTATTGCAATAACCTGCTGGTTGGTCTCCCTACCACAAGTTTCTCCCCACTCTCAACCATCCTCCAATCAGCTGACAAAATGATCTTCCTGAAAGCACGGATCTGACCACATCATACCCCCACTCAATAAACTCCAGTGGCTCCTTATCACTTCTGGGATCAAATACAAAACTTCAATCATTCAAAACCCTTCATAACTTGACCCCTCAGATTTTCATTCTTCCTACCCCTTACGTTCCCCTCCTCCCAAACACACTCTGTGATCTTGTGTCACTGGCCTCTTTGCTGTTCCTTGCACAAGAGACTCCATCTCTCAACCCTGGACACTTTCACTCACTGTCCCCCATACCTGGAGTTCTCTCCCTCTTCATCACAGCACCTCATGGCTTCCCTGGCTTTCTGCAAGTTCCAATTAAAATCCTTCCTCTTACAGGGAACCTTCTCTGATCCCCCTTAATGCTAGTGCCTTGCCTATCTTGCTTGTACATAGTTGTTTGCATGTTGTCTCCCCCATTAGACTGTGAGCTCCTTGACAGCAGGGACTGTCTTTTGCTTTTCTTTGTATCTCTGGTACTTAGCACAGTGCCTGGCACATAGTAGACAATATCTGTTTAATGACTGGCTGACTACCCTACTTAAGGCCCTAATTACCTCTGGCAGAGATCACTGCAATAATTTCCTACTTAGCTTCTCTTCTTTCAATCTTTCTCCTTTCTAATCCATCTATTCCATAGCACCAAGTTAATTTTTCTCAAACACAAATGAGACCACATCACTTTCCAACTCAAGAATTCTTAATCACTCTTATGCCTCTAGGATAAAATAATAAAAAAAAATTCCACCTGGCATTTAAGTCCTTCACTAATTTGCCTCCCACTTACCCTTCTGTTTTTATTTCCTATTGCTAGCTTTGGTGTACTTTCCATTTCAATAAAACTCATGTGATAGTTGCTGCACCAGGACAGAAATGTAGATAGAAATACACACTATTTGTAGAGAATATGCACCATTTCTATATCTCCTGTCTCAGTACCTTAGCACAAATGGCTTTCTCCATGTATAATGGGTCCTTTTCTCTTGGAATCTCTAGGTCCTTTTAAGACACAGCTCAAGTTTTGTCTCCTATAGCAGGTCTTTCCTTAGCCCAGTTGTCAACCAATTCACCCTCTTGAAAATATCCTCTATTATTTTGAATTTAGTTAACTGTGTAATTTGAAGATAGGCCTTGCTTCATTTTTGCTTTTGTATCTCCAGGCCCCTTATCTAGTGCCTTGTTTTGGAAAAAGATTTTTTGAATTGAATTTGTTCCTTTGCAAAGAAACTCAGATCAATCCACTTAAAAAATCTGTGTCTAGCCCATTTTCGGGAGCTTGTGAAATTAAAAACAGACAGATTGGAGACTATGATTTAATGTCATCAATTTTTTTCTGTAACATTGAGGCTGTCCATTTTCCTGTTATTTTTCTAGCATCCCAGTTTTGCCTTGTCCTCCCTCTCTCCAGCTTTGCCCTGGTCTTGCAGCCCTGAGCTTAAAGAAGAGACTGAGTTTCCCATCTCCTTGAAGAGATAGTTTCTCCCTCTATCCCAATGTCCTCAGGGCAGGGACTTTTGTTCCAGGAAGAAATACATTCTCAGAAAATCAGGATTCTATCTGCCCCCCCCCCAGGTCCTCCTCTGAGTTATTGTACTCACCAAGGATCAATAGCAATGCCCACAGCTGCATGAGGGGTAGTAGGAGGGAGATTCTCCAAGCAATAGAAAACAGCAACTCAAAAAATCAGAATTGGGGACTTTCCAACATGTTCTTCAGAACAGAGCTGGTGAAATTAGAAAAAAGGAAGTCAAAGAGACCTCCCTCAGCTGTTAACCCACATTTCCTCTCCCATAGACACTGAGAAAACACAAGGCATTATCTTATGTGAACAGCTTGTACATGTAGAACATCTCCAGTACACGTTCCATCCTTCCCCCATGCCCCTTGGCCTTTGATGATCTTTAACTTCCTCATCTGCTACCCTCCCACAGAACAGTTTTCTTCAGGTTAGTTTCCCAGGAGAAATTGCCTCAACTTACTCTCTCTGATTTCAGGGAAAATGTTAGACTGTGTTCCTTTTTGAATTCCAACTATATTTGCTTTGCATCTTTCCTGGGGCATCTCCCTCCATTACTTTGAGACACATTGTGTTTCTTTCCTCATTTATAGTCATCCCTCTGAAAATCTGATCACTCACTTGAGGGATACAATCTACTGGGTTCTTCATTCTGATGTCAAGTCAATGAGTTTTCATCTTCATCCTTCTCTTCTTTCTTCTCTTCCTCCTCTAACACCCCAGTCAGTCACCTAACTCTGGTACTGTGCCACTGTTGTAGAGAATAATTTAGCCAAATACAGTCCCTGTTCATGGGAATCTTACAGCCTCAGAAAGGACACACTATTAAGTACATATGTCTAGGGCTAAAGAAAAAAAAAAGAACATGTAAAAAAAGCAATATAAAAGTATTTAAGTGGCATACTTCCAAGGTAGATGTATATTTGGGGCAAGTAGATAGGAAAGAGATAATAGAGCTCCATGACCAACCAAGTCAGGAGAATCTATGAGCTTTTTTTCTGAGCAATCCAAGAAGATTTCTTGAAGGAGGTGTGATTTCAGGAGTTTTGAATGATAAGGGATAAACGGCTTACCAGGCTAAGGAATGTATTTTATATATATAGTATAGAGGGAGGAAAACAAGATATGAAAAGGAATCATATATTGTCCTTCTATATATCCCTCCAAAGGCAATGATATGCCTGTGGTGAGGTGTGACCCTTAAGACGGACTCCTACAACATTACTCTTCTCATAGGGTGTATGGATACCTACTCATCTTTCTAGGTTGGCTCACTGACTCCAATTTTCCCTCACTTTACCAGGTCTAGATTGCCAGTGATAGAACTGTTGTTGTTGAGTTGTTTTCAATCATGTCTGACTCTTTGTGACCCCATTTGGAGTTTTCTTGGCAAAGTGGTTTGCCATTTCCCTCTCTAACTCATTTTATGATGAGGAAACTGAAGCAAACAGAATTAAGTGACTGAGGCTGGATTGAGCTCAGGTCTTCCTGACTCCAGGCTTAGCCCTCTATCCACTGAACCATCAAGCTGCCCTAGATTCCTAGTGATAGAATACCACCATACAATTACCCTCAAACTCTCTCAGAGTCTTAGTGTAATTCTGTTACGTTCCACCTGTTCACCATTTTAGCTCTTGTGTTCTTACCTGCATGTCTATTTACACATTTGTAATGCATTTATGTAAATGCGTATTTACACATGTAGCCACTAACAACAATGATACTTTTAGGTCTTAAAAATTAGCAACTCACTTAGGATTAAAGCAAGAAATTGAAAGTATTGGTGGCTCAATGGATAGAGCACCAGGCCTGGAGTCAGGAAGACCTGAGTTTAAATCTGGACTCTGACATTTACTAGCTGTGTGACTATGGGAAAATCACTTAACTTCTGTTTGCTTTAATCCACCAAGGAAATGATAAACCATTCCAATATCTTTGCCAAGAAAACCTTATGGACAGTATGGTACATGGGGTCAGGAAGAGTTGGATATGACTGAATAACTGAAAAACAACCACAAAGGCAAGAAAAATAATAATACCACATATGTACTCCTATTAAATAAAGTGCAAAAGTCATAGATATATCACAATTCACTTAAAAACTTGTATCATACTCTCTCACCAATGTACTCAATATCTTTGTGACAGAGTGAGCAAACACAAGAATATGGTAAAGAACTAAATGAAGGAGGAAAACCAATGTTCCAGAGTAACACAATTTTTTTTTGAAATTCAAAAAATTTTTTTATTTTTTAGTTAATTGGGGTTAAGTGACTTGCCCAGGGTCACACAGCTAATAAGTATCCTCCTCCTCCAGTTGATGTAGTCATAGAAAGCAAAGGGCATATAATTGAGGTAATGAGTTATTAATATGCTAATGAGGTATTAAACTATTTATAAAGAAGTACCCATGCTATTATGCAAATTTAAGGTGGAGTTCAGGTGAAAGGTATTCAACAACACTAGAAAACAGGTATAACCAAGTACAACTGGGAGGCTGTGGGCAGATGCAGTCAGGGATGAGTCTTATGCAGTCTCCCTTGTCCCTACCATCCCACAAGGGCAGCATACTGCAGAGAGTGGCTTGGACCAGTAATGTCCAGGGATGCACTCTCTGGTCAAAGGCACAGAGCTACTGAAAGGCTGAGTTTACACAAGATTTTCAGACGAAGGGTCTTCTATGACATCTGCCACATTGGGGCCAGAAAGCATGGACCAGTAGAAAAAGAGGAGTCTTTAAAAATTAATCAAAGAGATTTACTCAGGATAAAGAAAGTGGAATTATAACTATACCACATCAGCAAGCTTGCTGGAGAGTTTCAACACTCCACCCCAACACACACCACACACACACACACACACACACACACTCTCACGAGACATCAGCACACATCCTGATCTATCACTGCTTGGCTGATGCATTCCTGTTTCCCTCTTGTACTATGTAGCAATCATACAAAAATCAAAGATCCATGAGCCTCTAGGTCCTTGAGCTGACTGAGAGCCTTGGACCCTGAAGTGGACTGAGTTGTCACAAAAACAATCCCCCACCCTAGCCTGACCTCCTTAGTTTCTACAACAAAGGATTGCTAATCACGATTGTAACTGCCCCTACCTCAAAGGATTGCCCTACCTCAAAGGATCGCCAATCCACAATTGTAAATTTCACTACATCAAAGGATTAGTATCTACGATTGTAAACTGCTGGGTATAAAGCTTTGTTATTTCCCTTGCTTGGCACTGTTTCTCCTAGGATTGCATCCAGGGGACAGTTGCCAGCCGGCTCCAGTAAATGCTCTCTATTTTCTAATTTGGCGTGTGTCTGGTTACTCTCGGCCCGTCCATTTCAGACCCAATTTATTTCTGCAACTACATACCTTGCTAAGTAAATCAATGTCTGAATGTTACTCTGTGTCTTTATTTCACTATAACTATTTTGGTGACCACAAAGGGACTAAGACTGAGTCTGCATATGACAACTGGACTTTGCTTCACTCCAGTAAGATTTCTACCATGAGACTTCTTTGGTGAAGGATCATCTGTCCCCAGGTCTCCACATTCTCCTGAATCACATCCAGATAGCTATCTCCTTAGATGTGAGTAGTCCTTGAGGAGGCTCTAGTAAGCCTAAGGGAAGTTCTTATTAGCTTAAGGGAAGCTTCCTATTCAGTAACTATGGATACCCCCTTAGGGAAATTCTTATTAATCTGGGACCATGGGAAGCTTCCTGTTCAAAAGGGGTTGATTAAAAAAAGAGCTCTTAAATTATGTAAAGATTGATCCAAGATATGTAAGAATCCCAACTGATCCAAAATTTGGCCTGAAGAAGGAATTCTCAATTACCACAATGCCTTTAGGCTCTGAGATTGTTTTTAAAAAATTGTGTGAATTTCCACGTTGCGGTTTGAATTTTTAAAAATATGCAGCATGGGGGCAGCTAGGTGGTGCAGTGGATAGAGCACCGGCCCTGGATTCAGGAGGTCCTGAGTTCAAATCTGGCCTCAGACACATCACACTTACTAGCTGTGTGTTCCTGGGCAAGTCACTTAACCCCATTGCCTAGCCAAAACAAAAACAAAACAAAAAAAAATATGCAGCATGAAATTATTAGGGTCTAACATTCTATCTTTGGAAGACCATTAGAAGGGTGTGTCTCCAATCCTTAGAATCTTGTGGATTAAAACTGCAGAGAATATAGGTGCGGGGGGGGGGGGGGGGAAGGTGAAGAATGTACTTTATCCACCCTCTTAAAGTATGAGAAGGGTTGTTTTGGAATTGATTTGGCTCAGTGGGTGATTTTAAAAGAACCAAAAGCACTACACAGTTATCTCTTCCACACAGACGGAGTAAAGAGCACGGTGTACACCCCCACCCCCAATCTGGAAAAATCTGCATAAAATTTTTTGGCCCTTCCGTTGTATTAGAGAAAAAGTCTAAATTGTTACAGTATTAAAAGATAAAATATGTTGATATTATATAATACTATACATATATTTTATGCATTTCTGAGTTTCTAAACTTCTTCTGTATTGCTGTTGGCCTTCCTGTGTCATCTGTAGTTTCCACAAAACTCCCCCAAAATTCTCACTTAGTTTCTTGTGCTGACCCACAATATATTGAAACCATGATGGGGAAAGTCATGATGTAAAAGGGATAACTATATAAATGTTAGTAAATGTAAGTACTCTTTATTGGTCCTGAATGCAGTTGGTATAGACTGCCATAGATGAAAGTAGAATACTCTTGACTCAGTTTTCCCATTGTGCTACTTCCTTTCTGAATAGGAAATTTTCCTATCTGGCAAATTCTGAGCTTGTCTATGACATCCTGTGAATAATGTGGAACTTTGCTGTGTGATTGGCTGGTAGGTATTACTCATCCCTGGAATGAAACAGAACTGAGGGAGTTTTTTCCTGCTATGATTTATGTCAGATAAGTCTAGGCCCTAAAAAGGATAGTCAAGATATTGTCATAACCATGACCCTCCGTTTCCTTAGATAGCCAGTTTCTAGAAGCAGGGCAGGTGAACAGTGAAAGTTTTGTCATTAATTTGGAGAATTCTAAATTTATTAATTAATAGATTGACACTATAACATCTTTCAGTTACCATAATAGGATGCAAGTATGGAAGATCTTACTATTTTAATTTGAATTTGTGGTCAAC